ACGGGACAGGTCGAAGAAATTCCCGGAGCTGCGTGTGTGAAGTAGGATACCAGATGGTTCAGGAAATGCACGGTGTAGCAGGGCTGAGAAAAAGATCCCAAACAGGGTAGGAGCAAGTACACACCCCTGCTTGACGCCCCGACGAACTTCAAACTTAGCAGATCTTGAGCCATTGAACTGGACTGTGGCGTGCATGTCGTCATGAAAACACATCAGAATAGACAAAAGCCTATCTGGGCAGCCCAAGCGCTTTAGGATGGAAAACAGGCCTGAACGACTCACGTTATCAAAGGCCTTAGTCAAGTCGATGAAGACCATGTACAGAGGTCGCCGCTGTTCAACACACTTCTCCTGGAGTTGTCTCAAGGAAAACACCATGTCAACAGTGGAGCGGGATGGGCGGAAGCCACACTGGCTTTCGGGAAGGATTCTGTTGGCAATGACCTGTAGCCGCATCATGGCGCCCGGTACCGAAGCGTACAGTGTTTCCATCAAGGGCAAATGGGGATCTTCGGTCATTTTCGACCGTTTAATGCGGATAAATTTGAATCTAGAGCTGGGGGTAATCGCTCAGAGCTGTGCCGATGGTGTAAAAGCGGGTTACACCGTGCTAATAATACAAACTTCAAAGGAAGAATCGGGTCCATATAAAGATGTCGATGCAGATGAAACGGCTAACATTTTGTCTGATTTTGGATTCCGCTTTTTGATATCTAGGCCATTTAAATGCTAAAAGGTAAATATTGCTTGAATGTCCTATCCTATCCTATGCCTATAATTTGAATATAACATACTGAAAACTGAAATACAACAGCCAGAACTTTTCTTAATTCATGGTTTTTATTTTTAATATATCATTTTACAGATACACCAAAAACAGCAAGTTGGCTTCATGCCTCATCTGTCCTGAAGCACACTGCAGGCCTTGGTCTACCATGCCTTCCTTAAATTTTCCTTGATCTGACAGTTTTGTTTTTATTTGCACAAAAACAAGAAACTATAAAAGAAAGACATAAAAAGTGAAATAAATGTCACTCAGAGTTTAAAAGTATACAAATATTGTGTGTAGCCTTGTTTTCTTTTGTTATCGTGTACTACTACCGGCTTAATGTCATTTTCGTTGTCTGGATTAAACAAAATTTTAAAAAAATTTAAAAAAAACCCCGACCTACCTACCCTATTTTTTCTGGCCCGTTACGCCAACATAACTTCTTTTTTTTTAGGCCTAAGTGGAGCGTTGAATTACGGGTACCCCTCCATACCCCTCTTGTATGGAGGGGTACCCGAAATTCAACACTCCACTCAGTAGAGCTAGTTCAAAACTTGACCTTTTCTTCAGGAAAACCTTATTAAAATGGGGTTTAGGGAGCTTGTAAGGTTGATTTTAGGGAACTTTGGAGTCTTCCAAAGCCAATGAAACCATAAAAATAATAATATTTTTATGTCGCACTCACGCGGCAAAGAGAAAGGACTTTTAGGAAAGGGGTCAAATTTGATGGTAACTGTCAAATGTGTTTTGGGTCATGCGCACTTTATAATGTGCAACGTAAAAGTATCAATTCAACCAGTACCAGCCTACCACTTACCAGGCCAAAAAGTTGGCAATAATGTGGAAGAATTATGCACATGGCCATGATGGCTGCATGTTTTGTGTATGCAAGTTCTTTGATTAACCACATAACTACAGATTTGGTAGACACAAATTTATTTTGTAATTCTAGGGTAGTTTACTACAACAAAAACACGCATTGGCACAATTGCAGAATACCCCGCCACTCAATCTATCCACCTCGTAGCCGGCTACGGAGTCACGGTTGATTGCCCTCAATAAACCTTCTCAGGGCTATTCTATGTACTATGCGTCATGCTCCACTGCACTCCCACTCCGTATCCGCGTAGCCGCCAACAGGGTAGTTGTTTTTTTCAGCAACTCCCATTCCTTTTGTGTTGCTTCGTTCTCAAATATTGGACCCCCACTCGGTATCCGCGTAGCTGGCAATGGACTTGAATTGTTTCTTTTCCAGTGATTCCAACCTTGTAGCCAGAGATTTTAGCGGTGTATTTCCGAGTGGCGGGGTATTCTGCAATTACTCCCAATCATTTGGCAATGCTGATTTTTTTAAAAATAATTCTGATGTTAGTATACATCGCCCAAGTAGGCCTATTCTTCAGAAAGGAATGTCTTTTATAACACTGACGTTGATAACAAAGTTTTGCATGGTCTTCATTCAGTACATTTTGTACATAAGGGTAGCCACACATTTCTCTCAGAGTTGTGCATACTTGCAAAGTGTGCACTCATCTCATATGTTTTGTTAAATGCATGAAATCATTTGTTGTACTAACAAGTAAGGTTTATAAAATGATTTTGTGTTTTTGTTTTCATTAGAACTTGAAATTTGCAATATTGAAACCATAATTTGGTCAGACAAATCTTCATTGAATGGTGTTGCTCCTGCATCATTGTTTATGTTCCAGGGTATCCAGACCGGGTCAACATTGAATATGATGGTGATGACAGTATCTATTCCAACCAGCTTCCTAAGGACTACTCAGAGGCAGACCTGCAAATATTAATAAAATACCACATATTAATTGATGAAAAATTAACAAATGAAAAAAAATATATATAACATGAATATTTATAAAATACCATACATTGTGGTGTTACCGCAAACCGAAACGATAATATGAATGAAGTAATCGGTAAGTTGCATGTTTAGTTGAAAACCTTGCTAACATGTGGTTGGTCTTGTAAAGCCTTTAACTCCACCTATTAAACAGGTATGAGGCTAATTTAAAAAGCACTGTATTTGGTAGTTCCTGCTCTGTCTGTTCGTACCAAATGTATTGTATATTTCTTTGGAAATACCTAAGTAGTTTGCTTTATAAACTTTTGGGAGTTACAGTGACAAATGACGACAGAAAACGACACCCTAAACATTGTCATTAAAACTGTCTTAACTCCTCACCAGAAGAAGTTATGAAGCTAATCTTAGCACCGTTGTGATGCTCAGGTTACAAGCTTTTCGATGATGCAAACTTGTCTGTGAAATCTAAAAAAAATGCAAAAAGTGCCGGACTCGCTACCGTAAGGTCATGGCCAAATTCTTGCAATTCAAAAATCTGTCGGGTTCATCAAAAATCTGCCAAAGCCCCCATAATTACTTGAAATACACAGTATAAACACTTAATATCGCATGCAGATGTTAACTTGAGTAACTCCAGCTGGAGCTGGCATGGCTGGAGTTACTCAACAAGCTAGCAGATGTTGTAGTATTGCCTTACTTAATGTTCAAATTACATTATCTAGCTCTACTGAGTGGAGCCCTGGAACTTCAACAGACGTCCTAAAGCTACATGCTCCTATTTCTACGCACTCACCTTTAACTTATATTTTGCAAGGTGTGCATCCTTGCTGGGGGGGGGGGGCATTTGATAGGCGCATTATCGTTAATATATCATATGATAGATAATAGGTCTCGTTCAAATGATGTCATTTCCTACACACCATCCAGGTGCAACCAAAAAGACACGTTTCTTATATTATTTTTGATTTTTTTTTACAATATAAACTACTAAAATCTGACATCTTGCCAGTTGTCTCTGTTGATTGGGATGATCAAAATAACTATATAAAAGTGGCCGGCTACATATTAATTAGGTAAATATGTATAAAATGTATTTAAATAAATATTTTAATATGGGACTTTGTATGAATTGACAATTATCTATTGAGGATTCAACCATTATATTGAAATTAATCTTGAAATTATGAAAAGTTTATTGGCATTTAAAAAAAGAAAGAAAAATGTAAGAAAATGTTTGAAAAGCTTGAGGAAATATATTTTCCTAAAACCAAGGAGTCTAGCTCATTTAAAAAACAAATATTATATTGAGTTACATGGCCTGGACAGCACAGATTTTTCATGAAGCGTCCCCTGCATAGAAATAGGCAGGATTTTTTTCTACAACGCCAAAACTGCACGCTTTGGAATTCTCTGCTTGTCGCCACAAATAAAGAGATTCCGCTTTGTTAATTGATTTATATGGTAGATGATTGAAAGCCAACAATATAAGTTTTGTTGAGGAAAAGAGTGGTTGCTTTGCTATTTTTAAGCTACTTTGTTGCAAAGCCTTATCTGCCCAGAAATAGGAGGATCGAGGATACCCTCCGTACTAGCGCTCCACCGATTTGGCATACTTTGGTGACAGGTACACGGTATGCATTTTGTGCATACCCTCGCGAGGACAAAAGGCCCCTTAAAAAAACTGGTAAAGAGAATATGAGAAAGACAGTAACCCTGGATAGATCCACACATTCATGACATTCCATAAGACCCCCTAAATTGTTCCAAACGACCGGTGATTTTGAAAAAAGAACAAAATTATTCTGAACTTGCCGCTCACATCTAAATGTGTCAGCCGAGTTGTGCAGTCCATTTCACTGATATATTGATTCGGCACGTGTGTGACGTCACTTTTGAAGAAAAACAAGTCGCGCTTAATCAACGACCGTTTCATGTATGTGCCCCGCGCCAAAAACCCATACTGTCAGATGGCGCGGGGTACATGACTACATGAAACAGTCGCAACGACATCGACACTGTGAAATTATTCCAGAAAACGTTTTTCAAACGATCTAAAACTGAAGATTTTAGATACGTGTAGTAATTTCACAAAACTAGAAGATATGTTTTCTGTTCCTGTACATTATTTACAAGTATTAAAACTCGGTTTGTAATGTTTGAGTAGCTCAGACCAACGCCGTTGAGGCTGGTTTTGATTGGAGTTCGTCGGGTCGACTGCACACTGCATGACATAGAAAGTGACCGATTGAGTCTAAAATTACATGTTCCAACTCGCAACTATTTTATTTTCCGATGGATCTGTTGACATTTTTGGTTATCACGGAATCGCCCATGTGAAAACTCTAGCAAATTATCACAGTTTTTGTGGTGTGTCTTACAATTCTAAATTGTTTGATGTTTTGTTAACAGACCTTGGTGTGCATTGTAAGTGTACTGAACTACTGTCACAAGAGAATTGAAGAAGCGGATGTGCATATTGAGGATTAATAATGGCAGAGAGAATAGTGCAGGATTGGCTTACAGAGTACAAGGTACGTGTACATGTGTATGTATTCAAGAGGTCTGGCTCTCAGTTACATAGTTTGAGAGTAGAAATCATGATTAGAATTGTCAGACACTTGTGTAATAACGTCTTAAAGACAACTGAGTTGATGAGGTGGTAATAACAAGGCAATACATATGTGAAGCCAAACAAAAAAAATGGTGTGTTCGTTCTGAAAAACGGTCTGAAAAAAATCCAGGTAGGTAGGTGGGGAAATAATTTTATTTTGTAATTGTTTTTTTATTTCACTTCTGCAGGCTCATGCGTGTTCTTTCGCAAAATATTTGTATAAAAACATTATTCAAGCATTCAAGATACTCAATCGATACATTTCATTCCAAATTAATTCGTACTATACCGTCCCAGGGTTCTCCCCGGGATTTTTTCAAACCTGTGGGGGAAGTTTTGCTGTGATTCAACAATCTGCGAAGCCATGGCGTGGGGTTCGGGGCACGCATTTTAAGGGCCCCGAAAATTTTTGAGAGAAGATCTTGTAGGCCCCTATTTTTGTAATTAAAGAACAAAATCAAAATTATATACAAGTAAGTTTCAAGGTGAAGAAAAAAATCCTTTTGCTTCCGATTACATACCTATCAAAATAGCGTCAATAGGTCGGAAAAATTTTTGCCAATTTTTTTGGGGTGCTGATTAATGGAGCATCATAGAGCAAGGAATCATGTTTATTTTGTGCCTGGATTATTTTCATTTGCGCCACGAAAATTATCAAGACTGGCCATCAAAAATGATTAAAACTTGCCTCACCTAATAAAAAATATTTTTTGAGGTGGGTGATTCCACTATATGCTTAAACATACATCACGGCCGCTGGGGCCGCCGACATTGCTCACGGCCCAGTGCATTACTGCACTGTGTACGGCCCATCCCACGTGGCCGAAAATCTTGCACTACTGCAGAAACACGCTACGATGTTACACCACAAGTTCGAGCTTTGCAATCTCGTCATTTTAATGGAAATCACATACACAGAAAATAAAGATCACGTTCTGTGAATTAATTCGCAGAAATTCTCTTTCTCCATCGATGTTTGTTTGGTATTTTTACGATCCAACTTTGGCCGACGGCACAACATCATCGTGGTACGACGTTTGTATAGGCAGTTGTCACTGGTTCCGGGCCTTCATTATAGTATTGATTCCGTTAGCACGCGAAGGGAACCAGTGCACTATGCTGTGTGCGCTGCATGCCTGTCAGCTGGCAGTCGACAGAACCCGTCATCGTGTGCATTTTGATCACACATGCATCAGAAAAACAGGATTTTTGTCAAAATATTGCATGTCAAGATGAAATAATGGCGTATGTAACGATTATATTGTGCATTTTAATGGCGTGAATAATAATTATATTGTGCGTATCGGGGGCTGAAAAATGTGATCGAGCGGCATTTTTGTCGGGCCGATTCGCAGTACGCACGTTTGTACGTACGGGGAGAACCCTGCCGTCTGGTCGGCCAGGCGCACCAGTTCACCCCGATGCGTTACAGTTGATTTAAGATGTACACAGGCTACATTAGCTTGAAGCCCTTGAATATATTCTCAATATTCCAAAGGTTCGACAGTCTGAAGGTTCGACAGTGCAAAGGGCTCATTCGTCCAGAAAAGAATAAGATTAAATAATCCGAAGCTCTGATAGCCTGAATAGAAGATAAAGTTTGATAGTCCGAAATAACAACAAGGTTCAACTGTCCAAATTGACAGCATTGAATACTATTGTAAATTCGGACTATGGTACCGGTACCTAGTGTGCTTTCGGTTAATGAACCTTTGAACTATTAAACCTTTCTTTGGACTATTATGGACTATTGAATCTTCAGATTAAATAAACTTATTCTAAATTCGGATTACCGGACCTTCGATCAAGTGGACCTTCGGATTACCGAGCCAGACTATCGCATCAAATGCTCGGATTAATGACGCTTATTTCATTTCGGACTAATAAATCCCTGGTTATAGGAAATTTGTGTGTTCGGTCTATGAAATCTTTGGATCAATAAACCTTTCGACTATGGAACCTTTGGTCTATTGGTTGGACCCTATGTTATACACATCTTTAGTAATTTATAGTTAAGTACATGTTTTTCTCAGGCAACAGATTTGGCTACTTTTTCCAGACGGATAAAAGATGATATACAACTCATCAAGTCTATTTTTGAAATTCTTCAAGAACCTCACTCCAATGTAAGTATATTGTACACCTTGTCTGTAATGTGTTAGAAATTTGCTATTAAATTTGATGCACATACTTGTACTCAACATTCACATTTCATAATTCAATTCAAATAAATAAAATAATTATTAATATAATGCATTAACCCTAAAGCCCTAGCTTCTTTCCTAGGAACTGGACCAAGTCCATCAAAATCCATCAATCACTCTGCGTCCTATACAAAACTGTACATGACAGACATTGTAATGGATTCCACCACTGACGCACTGGTTGACATTCATGGACTTGCTACACATGGCTTTTATCAAGATAGCAGTACAGGAAGCTAGGCAAATCAACCGGATGGCCCTAGCATTGCTTCAGGCCATTAGGCCCAAGTCCATCATACTCCAAGTCCATCATACTCCATCAATATTTAGTCACGCCAGGCCTTCTGGACCAAGTCCCCCAAAATCCACCAAAATGGGGGGATGGATTTTGATGGAGTTGGGGTGGTTAGGGTTAACCGTTAATGGAAACTCATTTTATAAAAAAAGAAATCACAGAAGTAAAAAGCAAACACTCAAGAGAAAACTACAGTTTGTAACAATTAACTTAATACTGATGTGCACAGGTACATGTTTTAAACGTGTTGCTTTACATCACCAAAATTTATTAAAATACATTTTGTTGATTTATTCTATTAAGGAGAGAAATGATGTGCTGCTCTGCTACAGTACAGCACATTCGTCAGTATTCCAAACGATGTATTTAATAACCAATATCATGTACAGCCATTCTGTATTTTGTAAATCTATGCTAACTCAACCCAACAAAGCCCGACAGCAGGTTTTGTTGAAATCTGTTAGGATGGGTACAGTACCCCTAAAGTGATGGTGTTGGAATTTGCCAGGATGGGTATGGTACCTAGTAAATTATGCTAGGGAGTTGGGGTTAATGCAGACACGAAGTGGAGAATGTGCAATTCTGTCTTTTTGATTAATCGTTGTCAGTATACTGATGACATAACTAATGATGACATATTCAAACAGTGGATTGCAATATATCAATATACATGGGTGAATCCGTTTACCCCTTCTATGTTTTATCATGCATCTGTGTTCAGACATTTAAATTCATGGTCTCATTGTGCACAATAACATAGCGTTTTGCCCTTTACTAAAATAAGCAAAGTGAGAAAGAATAGTTAACAACAATTCTGTTCATGCGGTAGTTGTTTTATGGACAGTTTATGGATATCTTTTCTGAATTATGTCATAGCTCCAGGAACCAGTATGTGGCCAGTTGTATGAATTTTACCGCTCTGGACACTTTGAGCTCAAGCGATTTTGCCTGCAGTTTGTCCCAGCTGTGATATGGATTTACTTGTACGGACTCGCACTGCATAAGGTTGGGTCAGATTACTTCACTTAATGGCAACATCATTTAGTAGGACTAGTAAATTATTAATGAACTTTTGAAAAAATAATGAGTAAATTTATGGAATGTGCAAAATTATAGTTGTGTAATTGCCCAATGATTAGTGTTGTAGACAAGGTGATATACATGAAGTGCTTATTGTTAACCCTAAATAACTAAACATCACAAACTAGGGTGTTCAAAAGAAATGGCCAAGATTTGCATTGCAAAAATCTGAGAGAACATGTTGAAAATGTATCCTAAAAATTCAAATTACATTGCAAATTACATAACTTGTGATAGAGGGAAACTCATTTGTTTTATTCGTAACTGTTCTTTCTGATTATTTGATTGTTATCAATTTCTTTCCAGAATTACGGGAGAGCTGAGAGTCTTTTACTTGGCATCTATAACATGGTGAGCTTAATACGCATGTAGTTTATGATTTCAAAAGAGGTAGGGAATGTAAACAAGTATATACATTAACTGTCGAACACAGAACTGAAGAGAAATAGACTGGTTAATCCTGTCTTGGCCTCAGTGATCATCTTAAGGGTGATATCAGAGAAGGACGTGGTGTGATGGAGGTCATACCCAGCTCACCCAAGACAATATTTTGTTGATGCTAGAGATGGGATTGGGGGGAGTGCCATACAAGATAGTGTTTGGTATATGATCCTACCAGGCAACGTGCTGGACTATACACAGAACTTTTGTGAAGATCTCATCAATAGACTTTGTGATCTTGTTTGTCATGGCCCAGAACTACAAGATTTGGACTCTACAGTTACTGCAATTCTTTTTAGCTCTTTCAGATCAATCTGAATCTAAATTTAGATCTGAATCACTACTGGATGAACACCTACTGGATGAACACCAATCTATTTGCTGAGCCCTGTTGATTAGATATGCAATGTCAACATTGGCAAGACTGGGTTTTGAACTGTTCAATAGTCTTGGCATTCTGAATGGATGTAGGAAGAAGGTTCCATTCCAGGATTGAACATGGTACAAGTGAAAATGTATGTTGTCTTTCTTGGTAAGGAGTGGCATGATAGACGAGTCTGGTGTTTTGGCCCTAGATGAGTGGTCGGGCACAACCCGACCACTGATTGGAGTTGTTACGATTAATCTTCTTTCTTTCTTTCTTTTTTCCGTACAACACGTTTCCGCGGGGTTTATGATATGATCTTGTAACTTTCAATATATATTGAACCTCATCACAAGTGGTGCATATTACTCTGACGTCACGATGACGTCAACGGGTGTCAAATTACTTGCGATTTTAACTGAAAAAGTGACCAATTACTTTCGCCTATAACTCTTGAACAAAATAATCAATGCTGTGTGTATTTTGTAATCACATAGACCATCAACTGACAAACATTTTTTGTTGTGTTCGTGAACTCGCTCGACCTTTACTTCCGGGTCTACCGGAAGGTCAAAATAACGTGAATTCAAGATAAAGACTTAAGCCTGAAATCAAAACAAGCAATATTTCTCAAACGGTTTACGCTATGATCATAAAACCTTGTGTGAACTTGTACCATGTTACGAAGATGTTATAATCTTTGTGACGTCATCATGACGTCATCAGGTATCAAATTACAAGCGATTTAAGGGCAAATTTTGACAAAATAGTTTGCGCTATATCTTTTGAACTGAATAGAGTATCGTGTTCGTTTTTTCATGAGGTTGTAGACTATGCCGTGCAAAACATTTCTTTTCCCTGGACACAATAACCACTTGACCTCCACTTCCGGTGTTACCGGAAGCGCAATAAAAACCAAATGTAACTCAAAACGGAAGCATTTTACTACACACATATAAATCATGAAAGTGTTTAGTGAGGAATGCCAGTCACAAAAAAACAGTGTGATGACGTCATCTTTCAAAAGGGCGCCCCCTACCGGCACATAAAATAGTGTTTGCTTTCTTTAATTTGAAAACCATCCGTTCAAATTTTACAAAATTGCCCCTTGATATTCTCTGATTAACCACAGGTAAATTGGCAAGGTTGCAAATTCATGACGACATCAGATCAGAAGTTACTTTTAGGAGAATTTGAAAAGGATCGCATTTTAAATTAAACTCTATCATTTGATCCCTGTTGTATCTTCGTAGTCCAAATAATGATATCCAATACAATGTTCACCTTTGGATCTCTAATGCTGTGACATCATCAAACCGCAAGTTAGGTGTTATTCATACATGTACGTCATCAAACCGGAAGTTAGGTGTTATTAATACAAACAATTATATTTCCCATATTTTCATACATTATTTTAACTTCACAATGAAAATTTATCCTCTCGGAACTTTATCAGTATACCGTTTTTCACTGATGACGTCATCAAACCACAATAACTTTTTTTGCGCACAAAGAATGTTTACTGAAAATTATCACACCGTTAAAGATACATTTTTGTAACAAAATAATTGATTGTACTGGAAAGGATTTAATTTTGTGATCCTTTGTTCTACATTTATATAAACATATATAACTGGGCAGTGTGTAATGAAAAGGCTGTCCGCCCGACCACTCTGCGTTTGTAACTCAACAAAGGCGAAGCTCTAGTTGATCTTGAAGATGTTTTGGTAGTTTGTCGGCTTGGAAAGCAATCGGGTTGTTTATAACCTACAGAAAAATGTGCCTGCTCAAACCCTTCCGTTAGGTAGGCTGTTTCCTTTTAGTTTTAGTACTACTTTCATGAAGATGTCTTTGTAAAAGGCATATATCCACTTATTTTATCAAAGAAAGAAATTATATCTTATATCAGTTTCAATAGAAGGGACTCACAATGCAGTGTTTGCCATGAGCAAAGAGACAGCTATATTTTTTAATGTTGGTCAAATAAAAATGTCCTATCTGACACTCAAAACTTTATTTTTAGTTTGGCCCATGAAGTGTGACCTTTTTTAATACAGAGCTTGTGAGTATTTCATATGATTCTTTACAATTAAGCAGATTTGTATCAAAGAGAGCAGAAATTTCAAATGGGTCCAGCAGAATTTTGCAATAATGACTGACACCCAATTCACTAAGCGCTACAACGCATCGCAGTTCAAGTGATTGTAGTTGAAATTTTGAAGTAGGTAACAGTCTTCCATGAGCTTGTATTCCTTTAAAAATGTAGCATACGTCCGCCATTTTGTTTTATGTTTTACAAACTTTTCAAGAGGAGAACCGACAACTCTCTGCTGAAAATCAGACGACCCTTTACTGTGCGTTGAATAAATACATATAACATTCACTGTATTTTGCTATAAAACCACCTACGACACATCGCACTAACGATGTGTGCTGTGAAATGAGTCACAGAACGCGTCGCAGCTGCAATGCATCGCAGGGATATGATGCGTCGCAGTGCTGCGATGCATCTTAAGTTATTTAAATTTAATTCAATTCCAGGGTTTTATTATCAATTCGTCGCAGCCCAAAAGCTGAATGTGAATGATTTACAACAAAGTACAAATATAACAAAATATTTGAATTACTTCATACAAAAAATGAATCGTCATAACTTAATAGCTATCAAATAAGAATAAATGAATAAGATATCAAATAGAATAGCAGTATAAGGACACACATAAAGAATATATATTTTATCTTCTAAGCAAACAATAAAGCAACATTCGTGCTGATGAAATTAGGGTTTTTAATTAGCTCAATTGAAAATAGAAATTTTGATTTCTATGTTATTATAACAAATTATCATACCCACATTCACGTATTACCAATCCTAGCAGAAATTAATGCGGAGATTTGTTATGTGTGACATCCATTAAATCACATACATTCATGTGAATCCATTGATGCTTAAGCTATAAGTTACGATGAGTTTTTATGAAATCTGGTGCTGGTCATCTTGGTTGGCCACTTTCCCCAATACTTTTGTAAAGATTTTCATCTTCTCAGATAATTGCTGAATTGCCATACTCACTATGATTTTAAAGCAATTTAGAACAAAGTTTTATCAACATATTTTGTTTCGTATGCATGTATGTACATGTACATTTACATATTTGCTCTTGTCTTAATAAGTTGACTGATTTGGTATTACATCAGGAAGTGGTAGAACCTGACGGTATTTCCAAAGTGGAATCCTTCACAGTGCCAACTCTTGCCAAGTCATCCATTTATCATGAGGTAAGAAGGCCCATTACCACATTTTTTCCCTTTCATTCAAGTCTGTTATTATTATTTCATTCAAGTCTGTTATGAATGACCTGGCTAGTTATTATTATTGAAACTTGTATACAGTTCAATAAGATATTCACCAATGTGAGTTGAATGGGAGTTACATAACTATGAAAAAAGAGGTGCAGTGCTCCTTAGAAAGTAACCTCATTTGGGGTGTCCAACTTGAATCCTAACCTCCTAGGGTGATTCACTAGGAACCTTCCTCACCCTTGCAAATTTCGACACAATATGGTATTAGACTGCTTACATAAACAGTTGTACTCCTCTTAACCCTTGTATTGGAGTTTGGCTGGATGGGGATCGTTAGGGTTAATGCAGATACTTTTTTTTCATACACACAGCCCGTAAGCCAGTTAGCACTGACAGAAAACGTTCTCTCATACCAGCAAAGCGACCATCGACTGGTGACCAGGGGTCCTCTTTGCCAGATAAATGCCCTGACAATTAAAAACAGGTACAAAACTGAAATCTGTGATCGACAATTACATGTAATATTGCCATACAATGCTATTGGATAGGGAAATGTAATTACTGACAACTGTTCATGTATGACAACCTGATGAACTCTGCAGAGTACATTAGCTGATTTTCATCCCTGCTGCTTTGTACATTGTACAACACAGGTGGAATAAACCCTGGGAATAAGATAGGTTCATCAAAGGCGAAGCATTGGACTCTTCAGCTAAAATGCATAGGGGTGTCAAAATAGACACAAAAATCCCATCTTTACCAAATTTAACAGTAATTAACATATCGTTACATCTTAAGCAGTCCTTCATTTTTAATGAGCGCGATCGTGCAGGTGCCTACCATGCTCCTCATCTGTCCCAAGGAGTGTAAAAAATAATGCTCCTCAAAAAAACAAAGAGAGGACTTTTCAAGCATGGACAATTTGACAATAAGAAGTGATAAAGGCACCAATAAGAACTGTATGATTCGTTTGTAATAATGTACAAACTCACCTTTTTTCTGCCACGATTTACATGTACCATGCATGATACTACAACAAGCAGGGCCAGCCACACGCATCAATGTTGTGGGTACGTACGTATGTACGTACATGCACACGTGCCTACAGCTTACTACTGTGCTAGCTGTATGCAGCAAGCTGTGTCAGAGATACATGTAGTAACATATTCCTTAATCTTATTGGCCGTGAAAAGTCAAAATAAATTTTACCATATAGTTAAGTTCGACAATACTATCACTGCGTTGCCTTCCTGATCTTTCGGACGGATCATTTGGAGACTAGACCAGGCCGCTAACCGCTACAACTACAGCACAAACCAGAATAAAGTGCCATGACGTGCGATGTGACGATTATTACATAGGCTATAAAGTAGTGCGTGATGGAGCTTCTGCTAAATATTTCTTGTTAAACTATCCCCGGGTAACCATAGAATTCTTTTTCCAAAGATGGCAAACACATACACATTCTGAGTAAAACTAAAATATCAATTACGAGGAAAAAGTGTACCTAAGGCCTACTTGGGGGGGGGGGTGTTCGACAGTTATCACCTGAATGTTGTATTTGTCATATTTGTATGAAATGAATGGTAATTTTAATTGTGATTGTTTTTTTGTAGGTTCAGCGTGCTTACTCACGTAGTATCGGAGTACAATGCAGACATTGGATTTCTTTCTCCTGTGTCTCATGCATTTTTCTGCAAGATTTGCTCTAGGTAAGGAACTCGGCTTTTTGGGGTTAACTATAAGCCTGAGACGTAATGACGTCACGCTTTGTTTACATGTGCGCTTTCCTATGTAGTAGACGGTCCCCACTTTGTCTCGCGTCCCGACTTCGCGCCCATAGGAAAACGCATATGTAAACAAAGCCATTACGTTATTATGTCTCAGGTCTATTGAATCATCTGTTTTGTGATATGGATCCTGTGTCTTGTGAGTAAACACCTCTTAAAGATAATTTCTACAAAAATACTCCCTAATCTTGATATATGTAATCCAATTTATCAATAAAGAAAATCTTGCGTTCCTCAACACTGTTCGTAATTTCATGTGTTACGCAGCTGCCAGCATTATTACATGCGCATTGCAAAAGGGTTTTGGGAAAACGGGGAGGGAGGGGGACACTGTCATCTTTGAATCAGATCACTTGATCATTGTTACCTTTTCAGAATATACATTAAATTTAGTCAAGGTCAGGTCATGGCCAGGAGAGGTCCTCCAGCAACACGGGCCCATCTGATTCTCTCCCTCCAGTCGATTTCAGCCTCCGTGCAGAAGCGCAGGTCATGGGGATGCCTCTAATAGGATGTTGATGTAGGTGGTCCTCCTCTTGCCTCTGGATGCCTTTCCTTGGGTTGGTTCCCACAGGATGAAGGAGGAGGCTGCCAGTTCAAGTTGCCAGAAAGAGTGCATCACTAGTCTCATCTGTCACTCGCGGATCTTCTCAGTTACCTTGGGTAGACCAAAATAGATGTTAAAGTTCCTCATATTGTTTTTGCATGACACATCCAAGGCAATCCTCAGCATGCGGTTGCACGTCCCATCCATGGTCTTCTCCTGCTGGGTAGTGAGCATCCAGGTTTCGGCACCTTACAGTGAGATAGACTCGACTGTCGCCTCAAAATGTTTCATTTTGTGGCGCGCCATCCAGGGTAGTTCCTTTCAAACCTTCAGGTCTTTGTCTGTTGACGAGATTCAAGCTCCAAGGTTTTGAAGTCATCTAAGAGCTCGAAAGCAGTGCAGTCAAGACTGTTGACCGAGGTGTCGTTGGTGTTGAACGCCATGACTTGAGTCTTCTTTGCTTGCACTCTCGCTGGACAGGTTGTAAACTTTCGACGCAATGGGGCTCAGGCTTATCCATCTGTACTAGTTGTCTGTCTTGGTTAGATCCCCACTATGTTGAGAATGAGCCATCTAATTGCTCGGGCAGCTTGCCCAAATTTTAAGCGATGTTGAAGCTCAGGACGAGATCAATTGCTTGAAAACTTCTGGAACAATGCCATGTTCTCCACAGCTCTTCCCACATTGTAGTGATGACTTAGCTTTCCTGTACTCAATCAGTAAGAATGGACAATCGTCAATGGAGAGGTCTCCAACTACCGTAATTTTCGGAATATAAGCCGCGGCTTATACGTTGATTTTGCCCATGAAAATGTTTACTGCGGCTTATACACAGGGCGGCTTATACGCCAAGCCTTGAAGAATAAAAATGAAATTCACATGTGTATTTAATGTACTGGTATAAGAAGAGATATGTTGCTGAAATGAATTATAAATTAAGAAAGTCATTAACAAACCGAAACCACGTCTCACGTAAAGGTACCGAGCGGTAAAAAAGTACGGTGATGAAAGCTGTCTTCGACACTTGCCACCAGCCGTACGTGATACTGGTACAGTGCAGCAGCGCGCGATATCCAGGCATGCTTTCCCAACAGCGGACCACACCATTTGTGGTAATAAAGGGGTGTTCTTTCTTGGGAACAATAATTACCAATATTTTCGCTCTTTAAAAAAAAAGAAAAAAGACCACTACAATTTTTATGACGTTCGAAACATTTTTTTATTACATAATCAGTTGTTCAACGTCACAATATATTTTGTTTTCTTGAAATGTATTCAAGAAATGATGTAAAACTCAAAAGAGGGACTAAATCACCCCTTACAAAATTAATGGAATCGTCTATTAAATGTCCACTTCGTTTAGACTATTTCCAAAGAAAGTTACGATCGAAACTTGAATTTTTCTCGCAACTAATCGCAACAATTTGATAAGTTTTGAGGTAAAAACGGACCTGTTTATTCTTAGGACAAAACAAATCAGCATCTGTTGCCACAAAGCAAGATTTGTAGCGCTCCAGTCAGACAACACACGGTGGTTTTCATACTCTCTCACGTGCTGTGGGAAAATGTTGTCATTCACCGGCGTGCGTGGCGCAGGCTGCCGGGCTATGACGGGGGGAAGACGGGGCAGCCAGCAGCAGTTCCCGGTGTTTATTTCTCATCAATTCCCATATTTGTTTGTAAAAGTATTAATTGTAAATGATTTGATATAACTTTTGTGGTCCTTTTAATAGCTTCTGTAGTGTGAATGGAACTGGTTCAGAGCATTTTGACTAGAATTTGGAGGCCTTACAAAATTGAAACCGCAGCGGTCGGTGCGGCTTATACGCCGGTGCGGCTTATACGCCGACTTCAAATCTTAATTTGCAGATTTGTGCGTGCTGCGGCTTATACGCCGGGCGGCTTATATTCCGAAAATTACGGTAGCTGGATTTCTTCGTCTTCCTCCAACACTTCAGAGGGTTTCCAAGTAGATTTTGGAAGTGCTTTTGCCAGGCCTGGACGATTTTCATGGAGCAGGCCAAAACTCTACCAGAAATTTCATTTACAATTTTCAAAATGTTTACACGCTTTTGGTTAATATCACGAGCTTCTTCGCACTCTTGAATTTTTTTGGCCAGCTCCTCTTCTTTCAATGCCTTGTAGTAGTTGTAAAGCTTGGCCTTCTTCCTCCTCACAATTTCCATTGCTGTTCTCGTCATTGTCTCTCATGAAGGTGTCATGGGCAGCTGACAATTCTTCTCTGGCTCGGATAATATGCAGGTCAGTTGCTCGTTCCCTCTTATTCGGCTGCTTAGGCACCCTACCAGACATGTTTCTGCTGCTTCCTCATTTGCCTTCACGAAGCAGACGTAACACCCTGTCACTGTTCCTGCTCCTCCTTCTTCCACTTGCTCACACAGATTTTGGAAGTGGTTTCGGATCTCTACCACGTACTTTTTCTGTAGCTCACTGGTTAGACTGCTCCACATGTACCATGCCTTTTTCTCGACTCTCTTCCCCTGGGCTTGCAGGCTTACAAAATGTAGCCTCACTCTAGCAGATAACACCCTGTGGTCAGATCCCAGGGTTTTCAGTCTCTGGTACGCCTCGATGTTTACCACACTGTTTATCCCGTTTCTCCTTACGAGGGGAGAGCTAGGTCTACATCTTCCTGGGTTATTTTGGAAGAGGGTGTTGGCGGCCAGCAACTGGCAGTCCTCCATCAGTTCCTGTAGTCATGTTGTCTTTCGTCTCATTTTGAAAAGTGAAACGAGCATCCGTGCCAAAGTGTGCATTGCAGTCGCCTAGTATGGCTAGGAAATGGTGTGCCGGGACTGTTCCATCACGCTCCTGAGTTGGTCATAGAACTGTTACTTCTGGTCTTCCCCTGCATCCTCAGTTGGAGCCTAAACAATGAGGGTCGCGAGAACAGGATTGGTTGAGAATGATGCCTGCAGGATCTTGTCTAAGATGCGACTGCCAGCGATTATCGTCTTGTCTGTGACTGGGCTCAGCACCATTTCAACACTGCCCGTTGCTGCCCCCTGTGAATTCCTCCGAGCTGAGGTGTAAAGCCTGTAACCATTTTCTAGCTGATTAGAGACTAAAACTCGCTCCTATCATCAATGTGGACAATCCTGTGCTTCCTTGTTGTTTCAGCAAGAAAGCCAGCTCATGCCTCTTATCCCAGCCCACCTTCTTGTTGGTCATGGTCTGGATGTTGCAGATGGAAAGGATGAGATCCTTCTTGCATCTGAGAAACCTTTCTTGTGCTTCGGGACTCCTGCGCCCGTCAGCTGCTCCCCTCCCCAGTGGGCTTAAGGGTGGCCTGTCATCAGGCTCAGAAGAGCACGCAGGAACCCTCCAAGCTGGTCCCCTGCATATTGGTGAGTCATCATTTGGGCCTTTCATTAGCTAATAGGTGTTGTGGGATGCTAGTCCTCGCAGCACTGCTCCGTCGTTGGGTTCTGAAGACCCTCCTCCGCCCATTGTTCCATCTGCACTGAACTCTTACCCGACGTACGTTGGAAGACGTCAGCAAAGACTTCACTAGACTTGAGCCATGCCTACCGATAAGGAATCTATCGAAAAAGAAAATCTTGTGTTCCTGACATTGTTCAACATTTCATGTGTTACGCAGCTGCCAGCATTATTATATACGCATTGCAAAAAGGGTTTTTGGGAAATGGAGAGGGAGGGGACACTGTCGTCTTTGAACCAGATCACTTGATCATTGTTCCCCTTATCAAAATAAGCATTATAGTCAGTCAAATTTTCATGCATTGTGGCAAAATTGACTTTCAAGATAATCTTTATACTAAATATAGCAGTCCATAATTTTTCCGTAATTGCTTGAGCATTTACATTATAACATTCTATTACTCACTAATACTCTGAGGTCCAATTACTCAGACTCAGCTTCATAAAAACTTGTACTGGGAGGTCCATGTACCTTCATGCTTTGTGAAGTGGTACATGTACTTATCACCTTAGTACCCGGCAGTTCTTTGTACTTTGACAAAAGTACTAGACGACTGCATTGAACAGTAAAAAGCCACCCCCCCCCCATGACTTGTGCAGCATGCTATTTAACCTCTGTTGATGATATGTGCAGCAGTCTAGTTTCCCTCAGCTGTGCCATGGGAAGATAGAATGCTGCTGGATCACCTCAGGAGTTAGGAGGCTACTTTTGTGTTACTATGGATTCCCTGCACAAGGACCCCCCTCAATGGTTGCAAGGGAAGACTTGAGGGAGACTGTTGGGGGATACCACCGAGAGGGACATTTGTACACATTGCTGACTTTGCCTGACCTTCACTCAAAGACGCTATGGATTTGTGCACATTAAGAATAAAATAAGAAGTGCATACTTTGCGCAGTACGCAGTACACTGGGTCTCCCAAAAATGATGCCAAAGTGCCATCCAGTGTTCATGCACATGTCCATACCCCTATTACACTTACAATGTATATTGTTTGGGAGAGGACATGAATAGTGAGACTGATGATTGGCTGCAGTGACTGACTTCAGACTTGGACATACCCACATGACTCAGAACACAGACTCAGACTTGATGGTGGTTGTAACTCAGAGAGTTGCACTCAAGGTTTGAAGACTCAAGATTACTTGCTAAAGGATTCCTAAAAGTGCAGTCGCTTTACCTTGTTATAAAAACAATATATATTTTTCACCGGGAATTTATCCATTATTAGCCCATTATGAATTAAATGGCATTTCTCCCATGCTAAGTGACATTTTTAGGCACAAGTTTAGTAGAAATCCATTCAAAGTAACCGACATAATTACCGTTATATCTATGGAGGAAATTAGAAATGGAGTTAAAGGGATGATTTGGGACGGAAATTATCAATTACATGTACACTCATTTTGCGTGATGGTCCGTTGGCAAATTTCGTGATGGCAGCCCCCCCCCCCCATTCAAAATGGTCTAGCGACGCCCTTGGTAAAACCAGAGCGCTTTACTTTTCTCATCAGATTTGTTGGTGTGTAGTCTGAAGTGTGGTAGACACTTGCACATAATGTAGATATGTCTGTACAATCATGGTACAATGTACAGTCACACTGATTTCAATCAAGGATGTACATTAACTAGTGAGCATACATTTTACAGCGACATTAACTTATCATAAATTTCTTTTTGTAATCAGCTTGGTTCTGTGTGGATTCTCTGGAACACAACTTGCATGGAAACAGAGCTCATCAGTTGACAGGATTTCTAAGCACAAATTGATGCTGGATATTTATAAGACACCACGAATTCCTCTCGACTCTGTCTTTCTGTTGGAGATGTTGACTGGTATTTACTTTGTCATGTAAGTAAAATTGATACTTGATGCTGTGAGAGACATTCAAAACCCAAAATATTAAAATATTTCAAAGCTTTTCCAGGGATAAATCAAATTTCAAGTTGGCAGTAGCTCATACACTTGATCACTGGGTCCGGGATTGTAGCATGATGCCATCAGCAGTACATGTATTGTACTTGTATTATATACAGGGTGAGTTAAAAAACAAAAAGCGAAACCCAAATGTCAGGACTATTGTTTAAGGGAAGTTCTGCAGGTAGCACTTTTAAAATCTAGGATATGAAAGCCCAATTCAAAATCTTTCTTTTAGAACAAGAATCATCCAATAACTCCTGTACTTTTTAAGTTACGGAATTTTAAACACAACCACTGTTTTAAAGTTCTGTCCACGGATCACAAAAAAAGGTGCATGCATTCTGTCATCAAAACGAAAACAATTCACACACATCCCTATGCAGTGTTGTAGTCGAGTACCAAAACTCGAGTACCAAGTTTTCCGAGTACACACAGTGCCGAGTACGGGCCGAGTCCGAGTACTTTTTAGTCGAGTCCTGGGCCAAAAATCCGAGTTCGAGTTTTCAGAGTCCGGGTACGGGCCGAGTACGAGTACAAAGATATCGAGTACACCCTGAGTACATTTTAAACTAAAGCATTATGGAAGTTAGCACCGTTACTTACATGTGATATGTAAAATAATTACCCAGTATTCCAAGAAATTAACACGTACACATATTATTTAAAAAGTGTTGTTTTCGCTTGGAATTCTTAATTTATTGCGTCAAAGGTGCTTATTGAAGTTGGAAGTTGTTCCAGACTTCTCCGAAATCCGCAGCCCATATGACTTGCATACCGCGCTGTGCTGCTTCTGTCCGTTAGCGAAATATATTCCTTGTGATCTCTTTACCCCCAAGATATAATTTCTGACTAAGAAGACATGTCTACGTCTGGATCAAACTCGCCGCCATGCACCACAGAATGTGACGTGTTTCCAACAAAGAGTGATGTGCACAACCTCTTCCCCACGGATACGATCATTCCGCACCTTGTTAGTTAGAAAATGCCTCGTGTGATGAACGCTCATGCAGCCTATGGAAAGCAGGTTGCGATTTATTTCGCTGGTATTCTTGTAGTATTCAGTAGGAATGGGACAGTAAAAAATGTGCACCAGCGATACTGCGAGCGCTGCCAATACCCGTTCACGAATACTCAATTTAGAGTCGATAAAGAATACAGAATACAATACTTTCATCATTTTCATATACACTCTCTGAAATTTTTGGTCAAAGTTTAGTATCGAAAAATTAGTACAAAAAATTTTGAATTTTCTTTGGAGTACTGCGCGACTGGGATCGAGTTCACCGAGTACAATTTGTCAAGTTAAAGGACGAGTCCGAGTACAAAATTACGAGTACGTGCCAAGTACTTGGGGTTTTTTTAGTACTTATGATCGAGTACAGGCCAAGTACTTATTGATACTCGAGTTGTACTCGAGTACAAGTACTCCAACACTGTCCCTATGTGATTTGTTTTCGTTTTGCTGAAAGAATACTTACACTGTATGCATATTCCTGTTTGTCTTGGCCTCACAGTTTATCCGAGCAATGGTTGGTGTTCGTCTGCAGCGTGTAAACTAAGAATGATGAAACTTCAACAAACGCACAACAATCAATAGTATGCCTATGTAGATTATCTTGGGTTTTTAAGCTCTGGCAGGAGCTTCTACATGTCACTTCATGGTTGGTCTGTCAGTCGGTCAGTCTGTCCCCAGAAAATTGACCAAAAACAAGCCACCTAAGGCAAAGAGCATATTGTGAAAGTTCAATTTCTAATTTCAATGTTAATTGTCAAAGAAAACTCAAAACTTACAGCTATACTTTCATTTATAAGGAAATATTTGTTAAAAATTTTAATTTAATGAATGCGCAAACAAGTCCAAAGTTTGGGCACATTTTTAATCATAACGTTTTAAGTCACCAGCCGAAATGTAACAACAAGAGCATTAAAACGAATGACAAAAAAACGAATTTGCTTTTTCAATTCAACGCCGATTGCTTCACGAGACAAATTTCAAAGATTTTGGACGAATCGGAATGTTAACAATTTGAATTATACTGAACCTTAAATGAAATCTAGTGGTGGCTTTTTGAAATTCAAATTGAGAATTGAGCTTGGGAATGTTCACGGACGAAATTAAAGTATCGACATAGGGAATTCATGTGATACAAGTGTTAAAATAGCCCGGAAAACCTATAATACTGCACGAAAAAGCAGGCAATTTTTTTATGGGAGACTATAGGGGGGCGTATTTTAGTCAATTTTCGGGGACACATTTAATAGCGAGGCATGATTTTCGCTTGGGAGGCCTTGAGGGCGCATTGGACGGCGCGTTTGCTGATGCTGCCACTGCCTGAGGAAGGGAGATGTCCTAGACTGGACTGTTGTAGGGTAGAATCTCAACTGTACTGATTTATAGAAGCAAAATGTGGCTCTTGCTGGCTAAACCACCATAATCTGTGTTTAATTCTTGAGCCACTTGAGTCCTAGACTTAGAGCCAAGTCGGTAATTGTTTTGCGTACGGTACCGGCATAGACATAATAAAACCGGTTACTGGCTCCACGCACACCCTATATCGCTGCAATGCGCGTAGACTGGTTCCCAGACCAAATGATGCTGACTACTAATGTTCACTTACCGACTTGGCGAATACGTTTTCAATTTTATACACAACATATGGGAGTATTTGGAATCACGAGCGAATTCTATGCGAGCACTCTGATTGATTTAGATTCCAGAGTGTATTCTAGGCCGCCACGGAAGATCATTCTAATTACTTAAAGGGTTTGTACTTTACATGTATGTTGTGTAACATCACAAAAATCATTATAGGGCATACACGATTCAAATAAAAATATCACAATGACACATGTTGTTTCAATTCACAATTGATCTAGCTGAGTGTATTGGTCATTAAAACATAGCCAGATCTGCAAACATGTCCCCAGCGCATTGAGAAGAACTCCCCATGTAACGGAATGAATGAGTTTTCATTTGCATGACAAATCCCAAGCTTAACCTCAAGGTCAAAGCTGCTCGTAAACAATAATACTAAAGTGGATGCCAATCTTCTGGTAAAATTTCAGTTTGGAATAAAGACAGACGTGGCAGGAGAAGGGTTGGGAAGTTAAAAGTGCACTTTTCATCCAGAGATTGCCCAAATTTAGTGCTTCATTTTGTTTACTAGCCATATTTTAAAGGTCTGTGTATCAATAAACCCAAATAACGTCTTACATGTTTGTGTACAGAGAAAATGCTGCAAACCCATTTGATTTTATTTGATGCGGTAGCTATTTTTTGCATGGCCTGCATGTATTTCCAGAGGGGAATAAAGTGATGAAATTTTGAGATACAGTTTTAACATGAGGCTGGTACCACCCAAAAATGCAGTGTAATGTGACAATTCGCTGAGTGGAATCCGGCCCAAGCTATGGCAATCCTAGCACACATAATAATAATAATAATAAAAGAACATTTGTAAAGCGCCGGTATCCGCCAAAAATAGGCGCTCATGGCGCTCGAGGAGAAAGTCAAGTTAAGATTGTGTGTTGTGAGAGTAAGCTTGTTTGTACAGGTGAGATTTTATGTTTGTCTTAAATGTTGTGATGGATGGAGATGATTTGATAGCCAGAGGGAGTTGGTTCCACACTCGGGTTGACGCTGCCGCAAAGGATCTGTCACCCCACAGAGTGGAGGTCCTGGGCTCGTGAAGCATCATGAGCTCACTGGAGCGGAGTCCGGTGCGTGCTGTTGAGTACGGGTGGATGAGGTCGATGAGATACTCCGGCGCATTGCTGTGGAGGATTTTGAACACGAATAGGCCAAGTTTGTATTTAATTCTGTATGATACTGGAAGCCAGTGGAGATCTGCTAGTACAGGAGTGATGTGAGAATGTTTACTAGTGAGAGAGATTAGTCTGGCACTGATGTTTTGTAGTCGCTGCAAACGGTTTAGTTGATTTAGGTTAATGCCATACAATAGTGAATTGCCCATGTCAATTTTGGATGTGATGAAAGCGTGAACAAGTATTTCAGTTGTGTGTTTGTCAAGATATTTTCGTATGTGTCCGATGTTACGGATCGACATGCAGACTGATCTAGAGATTGATGTAAGGTGAGGTTCCATGGATAGAGATGAATCAAAGATAATACCAAGATTTCTGACTTGATTTGATGGCATGATGGTTGAATCACCAACCCTTATAGATGGAACATGAACTTTGCACGATTGCTGCTTTGAACCTATGATGATAAATTCGGTCTTTTCATCGTTGAATTTAAGCCAGTTTTGAGTCATCCAAGAACGTACGTCATCAATGCATGTTTCCATCTGCTGGATTGCTGAATCAACCTTGTGTTGTTGAGGGTCTACTGACATGTATAATTGGGTATCATCTGCATAACAATGATAGGATATACCATGCTTTCGAATGATTTCACCAAGTGGCATTGTATACAGAGAGAACAAGACGGGCCCTAGGACTGATCCTTGAGGTAGCCCAAAATCAAGAGAGACAGTAGATGAACTTGAATCATTGACCCGGACAAATTGAGATCGGTCATTAAGGTATGATTTAAACCAGTCTAATGCAACTCCATCTATCCCAATACGAGTGTTGAGGCGGCTGAATAATGTGGGATGGTCAACTGTATCAAAAGCTGCTGATAGGTCAAGCAACACGAGCAATGATATCTTGCGCTTGTCCATAGCCTGCAACAGGTCATTTTGGATTTTGAGGGTGGCAGACTCGACGCTGTGATTAGCACGGAAGGCAGATTGATGCGGGTCATGTAGATTGTTCTCAATTAAGAAAGATGAGAGTTGCATTAAGACAACCCTCTCAAGGGTTTTACTCAAAAGGGAAAGATTCGACACTGGTCTGTAATTCTTCATTTCCTCTTTGTTTAGATGCGGCTTCTTTAAAAGAGGTCGTATCTGAGCAACTTTCATATCATCCGGTACATCACCAAACAGTAAACTGTCATTAATGATGCCAGTGAAAACCGGCACTAGGGAAGCTGAGCATTTCTTAAACAGGGATGATGGAATTGGATCTAATTCGCAGGATTTAGATGATGATTTACTGAGAATGTTAGACACATCATTTTCTGTAACTGGCTGAAATGATGTGAGGTGATGTGAGGCACAGAGCTCTTCCTCATGCGGCAAATCAGTAGTAACACGCTTGAAACCTTGGCGAATCTTCTGGATCTTCTCAGTGAAGGAACAGCAGAACTCATTTGCCAGATTCTCGTCACTGCTTTCAGGGAGAGGGGACACACGACACCTGTGAAGTAATCGGTCAGTTAGTTTGAAAAGCTGTTTTTGGTCTTTGGCATTGGCCAAGAACAGCTTGTTGTAGTAGTTTGACTTAGCGGTCGCCATCATGTGATTGACCTTTTGCTTTTGTTCTTGGTAGAGCAGGCGATCAATTTCGAGACGTGATCGTCTCCAGGCACGTTCTAGATGTCGCCGTTTCTGCTTTTCAGTATGAAGATCATCGGTATACCACAAGCAGTTGGGTCGAATTTGTATTGTGCGTTTCTTGCTTGGGGCATGTTTATCCAGGAGTTGTTTCAGGGTATTGTTGTACCTTTCCACCCTAGTTCCTAGCGCAGCCGTGGGGGTTGAGTGGAATAGATCCGAAACGGCTATGTCATTGCAGAATTGAACAGTATCTATGGCGTTGATGTGGCGTTTGAAAATAACCTTGGTGAGAGTACGTGGCTTTTCGAGCAAAAGATCACAGGTTATAGCACTATGATCTGATAGTCCACCAATGATTTGGGGATTGGAGAATACTGCAATGTCCGATGTTCGTGTGATCAGCAAGTCAAGTGTATGACCGGCAGTATGGGTAGCATCCGAGATGTGTTGGTGTAGGCCACTGCTTGAGAGCAACGATGCAAAACTACATGCATTTGTGTCAGTTAGGTCATCCACATGAACATTGAAGTCACCAGTGATGAAAATGGGCATTGGGTTTAGTAAGAGCTGGTCAATGATGGACGAGAATTCATCAATGAAAACATTGAAAGAGCAACCAGTGGATTTTGTCTGTGGGCGGTAGGTGTACATACATGTACACCTAAAACAACTTTTTGCAGGAATGACATTAGCGCATTAAGTGCTTGATTTTTGAGGACCAAAAATGTGTGTGCACTGAAATCCACTGGCACGATAATTACATAATCTAAAGTTTCAAGATGTAATTGTGTAAATGCATATTTACTTTTAATATGACCTTTCCAACTGCATGTATTATTGGGTTTTTTTTTATAAAAAGGCGTTTCCGAGCCCAAAGGGTGCTTTTTAGTTTTGGACTCTAAAACGTGTTTCTCATGTTATGATAACAGTTGGACAGATCATTCAACAGTAGAATATATATGCTCACTACATGTACATGTACCTTGAAAATGTGGGGTTTTGTAAAAAAAACATGAGAATTCCTCTGTATGGGAAATGCAATTCCTGTTATATCACAGCTGTTGTAGTCCTATAGTACTGGTATTCTGATGAAAACACAAGTGGACAAGTTATTTATGTGAGCAAGTTGCATTTTTCTTCCTGAAAATTCATATGATTCAATTTACAGTCAGGATATCACCAACAGATAAAAATCTACCCTCAAATTCTATGATTATCCAGAAACCCTCCAAAATATGTCACTATCTTGACTCTCACTTTTAAACAGGATGTTTTACACCATGTGCATCAAGTTTAGCCATTTTATATGTTGTTTGTTTGTTTGTTTGTATGCAATTTGCTTGTAACGCATTTGAAATACTTACAAGCCAAACTGAAGAATTCCATTTGATTAGACACAGCAGTGCACAATATTTGACACCCTGCTGTGCAACTGCCTTGTAACATGACAGGCCATCATGCTACACAGCATAGTCAAACATCATTGTAAGATATTGGTGTCCAACTTTGTTGTCCTGCCATATTTGACTGAAAATTTCATTAGTGTTTGAGTTTAGCATGGCAACAGCGTTACATTTGGCTTCAGTTTCAGAAGGAATGGTTCTGTTTGCCATGCTTAATATACACAAGCAAGATTTTGTACTACATGTACATGTAGATGCTGAGGTACATTGTACCGGTACATGTAGTGGCTGGTTGTTGCTACATGTAGTTGTAATAACACAAACGTCTTCATTGCCAGCCCACTCCCTCCAAATATGGAAATCTTAGTGATTCAGAATTGAAAAATATAAAAACAGCCTTCCCTAAAAAAAATATAAATTTATGATTGTCAATGCCTACGGCGTCCATCCGCATGTCCGTATGGGCAGCTTAGTTTCCGGATGATAACTTGAGTTAGAAATGTTGTTTGGGATTGTAACTTTGGTAGGGGGTTGCCCTTGGAAGTAGGCAAGTTGGGATTGGTTTTGAGGTCAAAAAGTCAAAAGGTCAAGGTCACCATATGGTGAGTTACAGATAAATGGTTTCCGGATGATAACTTGAGTTACAAATGAGATTTTGGTGTCTAGCTTTGGTAGGGGGTTGCCTTGGGAGTAGGCAAGTTGGGATTGGTTTGGGGGTCAAAACATCAAAGGCCAAGGTCACCGTGGTGAGTTAAAGATAAATGGTTTCCAGATGATAACTTGAGTTAGAAATCACATTTTGCTGTCTAACTTCGGTTGGGGGTTGCCCTTGGGTACAGGCAAGTTGGGATTGGTTTTGGGGTGAAAAGGTCAAAGTCAAGGTCACCGTGGTGAGTTAAAGGTAATTGGTTTCTGGATGATAACTTGAGTTAAAACTGAAGTTTTGGTGTCTAACTTCAGTAGGGGGTTGCCCATTGGTACAGGCATGTTGGGATTGGTTCTGGGGTCCAAGGTCAAGGTCACCATGTTGAGTTAAAGGTAAATGGTTTTCTGGGTGATAACTTGACTCTGGCTGAGGGGGTTTCAACAGCAACGCTGGTATTTTTCAAAATTGTTTGATTCATGTTTCCACTCCATATACAACAAGCCAAGTACAGTTTCTAGTATTCTGTTCTACAGGTTCAATGGACAAGCGTCTGCTGGAATGCAAGCATTAGAAGACATCCACTTCAGAGCCAACTATGAACTTTATGCAGATGTTTTGTTGGTAAGATGAACAACTTACATTGGAAAGATTAGATATTCACGAGTTGATCACCTGTGAAGCGGGCCACTCGCCCGCAAAGCAGGCAGCAATTTTTTTCATTCACTGCTGTCTTTTCAAAGGCTTTGGTACCATGAACAGGAGGCAATGGACTTTTTCATGGTGGGTCTAAGATGGGCCTTGGGCATCTTTGCATCTTAATCATGTTTTTTCATATTTTGTACATATGCAATGTTTTTTGCTTCTTTTGCATTTATTGTATTATTGTAGGTGAGCAATGCAATCAAGCATTCATTGGATACTAATCCATCCGGCAGGCCTAGTGATGGACCTGTGGGAATTAATGTTGCTGTCACCCCTCCCTCACCAGTTGTCAAGAGATCTGCTATCACTAATGCCTCTTTTAAGACCAGGAGGCAAAAAGGTACATTGATCATTTCTCTTGCATATTGTCTACCAAATTGTTGTACATGTAGTAAAAGTGCATATTGCACATGTGCAACAAGTTTATTTACTACGTTTGTATACGTAAGTATAATTACCATTATGTCTTGCATACAGAAACAGCTGTCAGCAGCCAAATCATATTTTGCAGGATAGGTTGTTTAACCCTAACCACCCCAAATCCATCAAAATTCATCCTATCACTTGGTGGACTTTGGGGGACTTGGTCCAGAAGGCCTGACGTGACTTGGGCCTAATGGCCTGAAGCAGTGCCAGGGGTATCGGATTGATTTTGCCTAGTTTCCTGTACTGCTATTGTCATATAAGCCATGTGTTTTAAGTCCATGAATGTCAACCAGTGCGTCAGTGGTGGATTCAGGCGCGGATCCGGGGGGGGGGGGGGGGGGGGGGGGGGTTTGGTGGTCAAAAAAAAAAATCCTCTGTCAAAAAAAAATCTTATAGAAATTCATTACAAATACTGTGAATTATTACGGTATTATTAATTAATAATACGGTGTTGCCACTGCATTAATACATGTAATTACCCTGGTTAAATATTTGTTTAATTTGATCAGATGTTTCAGCCCATTTTCTAACCTTGAAATGATACAGAAAGTTGTAGAACTAGAGGTCTATGTCTGTTCCATGAACAAAACAGAGGGCTTTTCTGCATGGTGCGTTTTGTTTTTAATGCTTTGTTCGTCCATGTACAGTCATGTTAAAGTGCAGTTTCATGGACCGGTATGAACAAATTTCCATCATCGTGTGCAAATATTGTGTGCATGTAAAACAAGTGTGTAGATCGCCACGTGCACATCATGGACGTAAAGGTATCTGTACATTATAATTTGAAACATACATGTAACAAAGTTTAAACCCAATAGGTCTTGTACTTTCTGTAGATACAGGCCATTGAAAAATGCCTCTTTACGATGACATCACATGACACATGATGACGTCGTCATGGCGTCACACATCAGGTCACAACTTTGCCATAGGGACTTTGCCTATGCTAACTTTGAATGATGTATGATTTACACCGTAAACATACTCACCCACACACACAGAGGTTTAGATTTTAAAAATCACGTATAAGGCTATTAAAAAGTCTGATCATCTTGAAACTTGGTGGATGATGGGTAATACTTTGTATGTATACAAACTTGGTGGGTATTACAAGTAAACAAAATCCGAAGTGACATCATGATGACGTCCTCACCTGATTTTTCATTACTTTTTACACTTTTTACATTTTCTTCTACTAGCAAAATATGACATTGACTTCAAACTAGGTACAGACAAAGACCCCAAGGTAAAGTTGGCCCTAGACAAGTTATGTCATGATGACGTCATCAATAGCCATGTGAAGTTATCTTAAAGGTGCACATTTTTGGAACTAGGTACTGTAAAATGCATACGAAAATTGCATTTCTACCAACAGATGCAAAAATATCGTCGTTAGTTTTAAGAAAAGTGAGCTTTATGTTGCAGAAGTGAAGTTGGAATGATAAAAAAACTTGAATCTCACTCTGTGACCAAAACTAAAGAGGGGCCTGTATCACAATCAAGGCGATTGTGATACGGGCCCCTCTTTAGTCCCTACCTACCCTTTTCTGACAGCACCTACCCTAATTTTTTATTGGAAAAATGAGGAAAAAACACCCAAAATCATCAATTACTACCTTTTACCCTTGACCACACACAGACACCTCCATATGCAAAAATGCAAACAAACAAAAAACCTGCCTGCCTACCCTATTTTTGAATGCCATGTAATCGGAAGCAGAATTGGGTTTTTTTTGCCTTATCATTTCACGGTCTCTGAAATTTAATGACCTTTAAGGGGTTGGCTGGTGGTGGCACTGGGACAAACTCTAAATGGTACAGCGTTATAACAATTTTGATGCATGGAACCTGGTCCTGGTAGGTATTACATATGAGAAAGTACATTGATTTTATGTCGAGTCGCTATTTTTGTGACTTGTGACTTGACTTGTAAATACCAGTTTTGACTTGTGACTTGACTTGGACTTGCAAACAATGACTTGTGACTTGACTTGGGATTGCAAAAAATGACTTGTTACCAACCCAAGTCAGACGCTACTTGAGCGACCCAATACACTTTAATTAAGCTATTATACTTTTAATTAGCTTTTTCATTCCAGAAAATAGACCTCAGTGACTGAATCCAGTAAAATGAATAGTTCCCACTAGTTTCAAAAGTTTTCAATAAGACTGTCGGAACAAACTACAGTTTTCAATGTTCAATTGTCTCTTGCTTAATGTATTGGTTGAACAAACTTTGAAAGGAACCTTTCATAAAAAGAAAGCAGGCCTTTGTCAATTGCATGTAAAATACCGGATAGCCTAACCCATTGGTAGGCGTTTAGTATACATGAAAAATGAACAATAAAGTGTTAGTATACTACATGTAATCGAGTGAGGTAGTCTTTTTCACGGTCATCTCAACATTTATTTCTGCAATGTAAAGTAAATTTATTAAAGTATACAAAGGGCTAATATCCGACAGATATGTGATAACTACAAGAATAGTAATTGCAACACATTGAAAAAGGGGAATTAAGGAGGCATGTTCAAAATAACTCGTAAGTTCACGCCAGGTTAATTCTTTTAGCTTATTACAGCTGGACAAAATAATGTGCAACTTGACGTGTTCTTGGACAAAGATACTTGTGACTTGACTTGTGTTTAGACCAAATGACTTGTGACTTGATTTGTGATTGGATCTAATGACTTGTGACTTGACTTGTGACTGGACCTAATGACTTGTGACTTGACTTGGACTTGCAAACAATGACTTGTGACTTGACTTGGACTTGCAAAAAATGACTTGCTACCACCTCTGCACATGGTGTACACAGTGTTAACAATCTCCCTCCCCCTTCATGCGTACGTACATTATGGACACCCCATAGTGGAGATGTGTCCCAAAAAGTGACGTCATGATGATGCCATCATGGGTCACGTTACGTCATCTTAAAGCTGCATATTTTAAAGTCCCATATATCTAAAGAACCATAAATGCGATTGGCTTCAAACTAGGTATGTCAGTAGACCGGGATGTGTTATAGGTAAACATTGAGTTGACGTCATCATGTGATTTTTAATGGTTATTTAAGTTGTTGAGCCCTGAAACTACATCTCAAGAACGAAACATGCTAAATTCAAAGTGTCTGTTTGTAATAGGTTTGTTAGGTCATAGATATTTGCACAAAAATGTGACAAGTGTGTGACGTCGTGAAGACCTCATAAATAAAAAGCCCTATGGTCTGTTCCTCGAACAAACATAAATCAAGTTTTTTTCTGTATTGATGACCATGTATACACAACCAAATAGTATGCATTTGCAGTGATTACTCTCTTACCTACCCCAAGTGCATTTAGTTGTTTTGTTGATATGTTATCTTTAAAACCCCTTCCCATGCCTTTGCTTCCATTCCTTTCCATCATATGCTTACCCTTGTAATCTGTTTTCATCCTATCACTTTGTCATAACCATTCAGAAACAACAATTACAGTCACCATCGAAGGCGTTGAAAAGACAGAAGCTGTCACCAAAACAGATGGACTTAATACTCAAGAATCCAGCACTACAGAACCAGCTACAGTTCTTACTTCCACAAAATTGTCATATCATGGAAAAAAACAAAGACATTCTGAAAAGGGCATTTCTGCTGTGGATGTTGCTGTTACTGATAAATCAGGTTCCAAACGAATGGAAACAGTTGAAATGGAAGAAGTAAGGCTCACGTTAGATGCAAGGGTTGCTAAACAAACAAACAAAGATGCAGGTGACCGTTACTTTTCTGAAGGCAGTCTTAGCTATCCAGAGATTTCCCCCGCATCACACTCACGAGAATTGCATGCAGCTAATCAACATTCTTCCAATTCCTCAGGAGAGAGTTTTGAAACTAATTTATAATGGTGCCTCTCTGCAAAATCTGACATCACCAAGGAAACAATGGCTTGCTTCAATGTGTAGAAAATTTCAGCCTTAGAAAAGGACAGAAATACTTTCTCAGTTTGGCCTCACATTTTTAAATAAATGTGATTTTTCACCGACATGTAATTTTTTTGTATGCCATTTGGAAGTTTTTCGTATCTAAAAGGTTGCACACGTGTCAAATTCTCATGAAAGTATAGAATGTGTTAGTTAACAGGCATGCAACTTTTCCTCGGATCCACTGATTTCTTTGTTTTTTACTTCTCCTGAATGCCATTACAAATTGAAAAACACTGTACAAAGTCTTGTGTGATTTGGAATTTCCTTTTTTCCCCTAAATTCCCAGTTTAATACCTGTGTCCACATTTATGTGTTTTGTAATACATGTATTTGCAGTAAGTCCAAAAATTATTAGGAATTTTAATTCAAGTTAACAGTGTAATGCAAGGAATGTTTCATGGCCAAATGAAGGTCACAAAATGGTCTGTGATCATACTAAAAAATGCAAATTTCAAGGTACACGTGTTGTGTGAAAGTTCATGGAGCACATTCCCAGTGTTGTAGTCGAGTACTTTTTTTCCGAGTACTGCCAAGTACTTAGCTTACTGAGTACGAGTACTTGTACTTCCGAGTACGAGTAGCATACATCCTGATATCTTGTAATGAATTTATACATTTTCTGCAGTGTGGCAATTTCACGTAAAGTGGACGTGGCTGAAAAGTGGAAAATTTATGAAATCTTCAGAATTACAAGCACCACAACTTCAAATGAGGTATCAAATGAAAGGGGACAACACAACCTTTCATTTGATCGGTGTACTAGTGCAACACAATGTGGTTAAATGTATTTTTTGGTTAAAAAAAACCCGGTGTTGGGGCTAAGGTGCTGTAGTGCCCTGAGGGGGTTAAAAACGGCATATATATCCCACATCACAGCAGTCGACAATTGTTTTGTTATATCGTGCCAAACAGATAAATGGTTGTAATTCACTGTGTGAGAAAAAAGTTCACTGCGATGTAACCTTTGATAACTGACGGCTTTGATGTCCTGCCAGACATGAGACTGAACGGTTGCATTCTCAGTTCTCATAGCGCAAAGCTAGCATGCTGGCTGGTTCCACACGTGCACACACCACACGCAATGAACACAGTACGATATCGCTGATCTCTACATAAAACTGGATATCAGTGTGTAACATGCATTTTATTGTCCAGACACGTGGCAATTCTAGACCAATGAAATTACAGTACAAGCACACGCAACAAAAAGAAAATTCTGTCATCACAAGTATTTTACTTTGTTGTTTCAAATTGGAATTGGATGGAATTGCCCAGTGCCAGTCTTTTGTGGACAGTCTGGCTAAAAAGGTTGGAAATTTGAATGGCGCCTTTGAATGAATTCCAGAGAAAGTGTGCGTTGTAAATAATGTATTATTATTATTATTGTTATTCAAGATGTCCCCCCCCCCAAAAAAGAAATAATAAACTTGGTCCTTACCTGGTACGTGTATTTCTGTTGCAGTACAGGATTGTACATAATGCATATATGCTTTTATTGATGTCAACAATATTGGTAATATATAAGTAAGAGATAATTCCTTTATGTTTTGTCTTTTAAAACAGTGCAGTTTACATAGTACATGTATATTCAAAGTCTAATATATGGGACGCCTATGGAACATGACATATATGCGGCATGTATTTATCCGACAAAAGTCATTAAATCAATTCAAAGTATTTCATTGTTTGTCCATGGAAGTTTTTTCGTCGGTAATCAACATGAACACCCAATAGCAATCACCACTATACCATAAATCATAAACAGGCCCGGATTATCCAATAGGCACAGTAGGCACTGTGCCTAGGGCCTACGAAAAATTCGGGGGCCTACGAAAATACCGCAGTGTGCCATAAAACACATACCTGTACATGTATAGACCAACCTACACACGCACGCACACGCAGAGATAAGTTTTTAAGAAGTGTTAGGGTCTCTCTCAAAATTATTTCACCAACTGACGCTGTACAGCATGTAGGCTTACATCATACATGTATAGGCCCTATGTATACAATTAACGTTTAAAGTCTGTCGTTCGGAAGCACGTAGCCAACAATGGGTGTCGACGGTGGTGGATAGGGGACATGTCGTATCCCCCCTCCCATTTTCGTCCCCGAATAAAAAAAAATGTATCCTACATTAGTTCAGAATAGCTGATTCAATGACTCCAAACTCAAAAATGATGTTTAAAGGATGATTTTTTGCCAAAATAAATTGTTGAATGGTAAGAAATTGCCTCAAATTGCACCACAGAGCGTCTAGAATCAAAACAAAAATCGGGGCCATTAAGCGGGCCCCGAACCCCAGCCGTTTAGGCTTCGCACTCGCATTAGTTCTGATCATGGAGCAAGGAAAACGGACACATATATCATTGTATGTACCACCCCCAACTTTTGAGAAGCTATTGACGCCCTTGGTTCCAATTAACAAGCTTTTATAGATCTAGGACCTATTTTGTACAGTGCTTTGTTCTTAAATAGTATCAACTTGAATTTGGTGCCGGTGTCTAGGGTGGAGTATAGGCCCTACGGGACAAAGGTGCCTATGGCGTACGAAACACTTAATCCGGGCCTGATCATAAATCACTAAAGGGTGTGTAGGTGTGTACACAATATGCACAGTAGGGTCCACGATTGGGCAAAGGTCCACTTTTTAAGGGGGATCTTCCCAAGACAGTTTATAAACGAAAGTATTTGTGCGGTGGTGTTCACGAGTTGATCGATCACGATAAGTTGATCACCCACATGTGATCGCCCATGAAGAGGGTGCTTCCCCTGTCGTGGGCGACTCACCTGCGAAGCAGGCAACTGGCCCGTGAAAGAAGCAACTTGCCTGCAAAGTGGGAACAGGCGACAAAGCTGCCTCTCCCGTGAAGTGGGCAAGGCAAAGCCTCATAGTAGCCTATAACCAGTAGTACAACCAGGTACCAGGGCAACGTTATAAGTCCCCTGGGCAATTTGCTGGATTTCAAGTTGTGTATGGTTGTGTGATGCAGGCGGCCAGAACGAAGGCAGGACAAGTTTTAGAAAAACATATGACGTATAAACACTGTACATTGTATACTCAGGGTGTTACCCACACACTGAGTATAACACACTGAGTACACAGTATTTATACGTCGGCAAAGGGCAAAATCTAATATTGAAAATAACTCAACTCTGCCCTTTTTGTAATTTTGCCTATATCAACCTTTTTCAACTTAAACCCTCATTTTATTATCTCTGAAAGAAATTCAGCCTTTCCAGTAAAAACCATTCGTGTTTTTTGAAGGAAAACAAAAAATTGTGGGGTGTGTTAAATTTCAGTACATTTTATGTACACATATACGTTGTTTCCGGTTTGATGACGTCAGCAGTTAAAATGTGCAAGCGGAATACTGATTTATTTCAGAGAGGATACATGTTCATTATGATGTAAACAAAAACTTATATGGACATTATAATGAATGTTTAATGTATGTATTTCCGGTGCTATGATGTCACACCTTTTTGAAGCTAAGGGAAACATTGTCCTTGGTTTCATTAATTTGTGGTAATAACATTGTCATTAAAGAAAAAAGAAAATTTCATTTTCAATCCCCCCTACAACAACTTCTGGTCTGATGACGTTATGATGGGGGGGGGGGGGGGGGGGCTGTGTCATCTATTGATGGGGGTGCTGTTCAAAACGACGATTATGCACACTAACGGACAATATATGGTGCTTTTCAGGACGATACATGTGCAAAATTCCAACAACAAGGCACCTGAAACGGCTTTTTTAAGGCACTAGTTCATCACAAAAAAAGGGCACTTGTTAACAAAAGAAGGGCACTCTTTAAAAATATTTGGGGGGGGGGTTAAGCGCTAGTGAAAAAGGGATTTTTTTTTTTACAAAATATTGGGTGGGGGGAATACCACCCTTACCACCACCCCCCACCGGCTTGTTACGCCTATGTCAAGTGTGCGCGTGCACATCGGACAGTATGGCGCGAATGATTTTCGTGTTCACAGATAATTTTAATAAAAGCTTTAAAGTGGTGAAAATAAAAATAATTGTTACTTCATGAAAACGAAAATATACCGATTGAGCACACAGTGTACATGAATGTTACTTCGTGAAAACGAAAATCACTCGGCTCTGTAAAATACGCGCGCGTACCGCGCACTCAAGTCCACTCGGGTGTTTTAAGGTACAGTCCATCATTTGTAATTTGTGCATTACAGGGGCGGATCCAGGAATTTCACGGGGGGGGGTTCAACAGCAACAAAATCTGAAAATGTACACAGGTTTTTTCTCCGAACTCAAAATCAAAAACGGGGGGGGGGGCTGGTACCATTTTTCAACAGGGTGCGCTGTTCAATTTCGATGATTATTAACACTAGATTACAGAATGATGTACCGTATTTTGAACAGGCGGACATATACCAGTATAATTTGGGGGGGGGGTGTTCGACTTATTTTTTAAGAATTTGTATGCTACATGTCCTTTTTTTGGACAGAGCTGGGGGGGGGGGTTTGACATGGGAATTTACAGGTAGTGGTCTATAGAGGATGGCTAATGAGGATGACAAGTGATATAAATGTAAGCAAAAAGGGCACCCTCGCGAGGGACTGCGCAATTCGACAAATACAGCTCGAGAAAGTTTGGGAAACGGTCAAGGGGAGACCATGCGGCCTGAGGCAAGGCTAGTCACACAGGAGGGTCATTAGGGGGGGGGGGGGGCAGCAGCAACCGAATGGGAAGAACTACCAAGATCAACGGGCAAATCAGAAATTTCTAGTCTTGTTTCCTTGCAAAGGCTTTATGTACAGGGATAATTCCGACCTGTTACGATTCTCTTCCTTGTTAATACTGGAATTAAAACCTCGCTGATTTCAGAGGAGGTCTGTTACCAGGTATCAGCGAAGAAGCGTCCAAAATTGGAGCAAGATTCGTGCCGCGTGGTTCAGGCAGATGGAAGACCGATGGAGACAATAATATATTGGTGTGGCAAACCTGGACTGGGCCGGACAACCTGCCCGGTGCGCGCTGTGTTTGCCAGGATCAAAACAAAAGGCATTCTTGGGGTGGACGTTCTACTGCTCAGTAAATGCGGATTTATGATCATATCAATGTCAAACATAATAAGGTGCACATCACGGTTAGAAACCAGGATTCGGTTGTGGCGAGGAACGCTTTTATTTCACCACGGCGTGAGCGTTGATATCTGGGGAAGGGATCAAGGGAGTAGATGAGAAGCAATGATAGAACCAATTGAGGGTGGTGGAGATCGAGAGCTGGCACAGAGGGCCAAGGGAGTTATCAGTAGTGTTGGGGAGTGCATTTTCCGTGCTGGCACAACCGCTGGGTGCGAAATAGACTATGCCACAGAAGATGATCAAAATGACATACATGTGTGCCTGCTCACCTAGCCTATTTGATCTTTAGAAACGGAGCGTGGAGAACATTGAGCCAGTGGCGCACCCAGGATTTGGGTATTTTTGGTGGGGGGGGGGGGCTCAAAATTTGTTAAAAGTTGAATTTGTTTATCAAAAAATTTTGCCCAAAATTTTTGGCCGCAGAAAAAAATTGAGGGTTTTTTGAGGGGCGGCCTTTGACGTTGGTGGCGCCACTTACACCCCTATTATACTACTCGAAAACAGGCCACATTCATATCACCAAGGCCAAATCGTGGGACTAAAAAAATATTTAAAAAAAATTGACAACCTCTAGGTAAAAGGGGCGCCCTCTTCGTCGGCGCACGGAGCCGTAGGCAGCGACAGTTCAAGTGGACGTTTGCGTATGGGCAGGCGCGGTTGTACGAGGGGGGGGGGGGGGGGGGGCCAAATAAAATCCATAAAAAAACAATGTCAGTAGCCAATTTTAGAAGTTGACATCACATGCGAATTGTCTCACCCCAAAAAAATAGTCGTGAGAAGGGGGCAATACTACTAGGTAATATAGTGTGCATGATTGTAGGATTTTAGCAGCGCTCCCACTGAAAATGTGGTACGAGCCCACACACAC